CACACACACACACACACACACACACACACACACACACACACACACACACACACACACACACCCCAGTAAGTAACGAAACTGGATGCAAAACTGCAGTTGCCCCAGGGTTGCTTGAGGGTGCGGATCTAGGAACCCTGGGGCTGTGTGATGGCTGCAGGCGGGCAGGCCTTAGGGAAGAGTGTGAGTGAGAGAGAGGAAGGAAGGTGTTTGCAGAAGGAAGCCAGCCCCGAGCAATCTAGGTTTCACCCCTGCCCGGTGTTAATGGGCAGGTCTGCCCACCACAGCGTGACTCGGCTTTGTTACAGTAAATCATCCGTTTTTGAAGAAGCCATTCCTGTGGCATTGGGAGAAGTCATCTGGCCTCAGCTCAAGCTTCCTTTTGCTGGTTTTGTGTGTGTGGTTGTGGCCCAGAGAAGCTGTTTACCAAGACTGAGGGCCCTGCAGAAACTCGAAGGAATGGCATCCTCCAGCCCTCAGTGGCAGGTGGGGCCAGTGACATTCGCACCTCGCTCAGAGAAGCTGCAGCTGCCCAGTTAGCTGTGCAGACCAGAGTGAGACTTCTGTGTTAGGAGGCGATGGAGTCTGTCCATGAATGACTCGTGCGCGGTGAGCAAGCTCCGGGTTATCCTGCGGCTTGACGTCAGTTCCATTGGATGGTTTTTCATTTGATTTTTGTTGGTGCTTGGTTGGAAAACGATCACCCTCACCAGGGGGCACTGGCGCATGTCCACCACATCTCCATTCTTTTGTTGTCTCCTTCTCCCCGTGTGCCTCGCCCTCCATCTCTGGTGCCCTTGGGATTTGCTGATGACCCATTCCGTGATCTGCCATGTTTGTCCCATGACACAAGGGGGTTAGCATTCAGATCTGGACCGTAGAGTTTAGTGGGTGTGTTGCTGTGTTCATCTTAGTGGTGCTGGGGACGGAAGCCAGGACCTCTGAGCTGAGCACTGAGCAACCCCCCAACCCCACAGGCCTGCTCTGTGCGCTGTCCTGCGCCTCTCAGGCTCCCTCGACTCTAACCAGAGAGTTCGGGGAGCTCCCTCCAGTTGCCTCGTTCTGCACATCACTGCTCCGCCTCAGCAACTTAGCAAGACCCTGCTTCAGAATGAAAAATGAGAAAAGGGCTGGGGATGTAACTCAGAGCAAAGGGCCTGCTACCAAAAGAAAAAGGAAAGAAAGCAAAAAACTATTTACATGTATCATTCTGTGTCTGTGAAATGTCCAGAGAAGGCACATCCAAAGAGATGATGATCTCTATAGTGTCAAGAGCCAGGCGTGGTAGCACATGCCTGTAATCCCAGTACCAGGGAGGCTGAGACAGGAAGATCACTGCATTGGAGACCAGCCTGGGCTACACAGTGAGACTGTCTAAAAAAAAAAACAAAAAGAAAAAGAAAATAGTGTGGAGAGCGGGGGCTTTGAAGCCTCGATCCTGGGTTAGGGTCCTGGCTGTGGAGGGCTTCACTTGAGCATTTGTGTAAAGGTGGAGTAGAAGAGACCCTCGTGGGGAATGGTGAGAAGCATGTCTGCGCCCTGTGCCTGTTGCTCAGTCAGCCGGCCCGGCCCGCGCAGAGCACCTGTGTGTCAAATGTCTAGAACAGTAACAACCCTGTTTCTCGCCTTTTGCAGCAGTCTTACCCGTGTGAACTTGTGTGAAAAGAAGGTCATTTGAATGAGTGAAAATGGGAATCTTTTAAAGGTTAGGTAATCTGAGGACTAATAATGACTTTTATTATTTTAGTGAAAATTAGAAGATTTAATAGAGCCAAACCACAGCCTGATGTTCTTGAAGAAGAAAAAGCCTGTGCTTACCCCAGGAGTATTACCTCGGAGACCGGCTTCAGGTAAGATTTGAGTTTTCCCTGTAGAAATCTAGAAACCACCCTAACACTTAGAGTTCATGACTTGGTGTGTAGCCTTGATAATTGTGTTAGATTTGTTTACTTCTTTCCAGTTGTGAGACCGAGTCTAAGCCAGCACAGGTAAATCGATGGGTATATTTGATACAGAAGAGAGATTAACCTCAGCCTCTCAGAGTTGTTGGTGCTGCTGCTTATTCCTCCCTAAACGGACACAGTTTCCCTGGGCTGATCTCGTACCACAGCTCCTGGTTCCCCATGGCTCTTGTCTGCCTGCACTGCAGGCCCCCTGGTGGTTTCTGCTGTGCTCTCCCTTGGTAACTGATGGCTAAAATACATCCCTGTCCACTGGAGAGCTCAGGACTAACGTGGTTATTAAACACCATCCAAGCCGTCACAGCTGGTGGTGCACACCTATAATCCCAGCTACTCGGAGGCTGAGGCAGGAGAATCGAAAGTTGGTGGCCATCTTAATGTAGTGAGACCCTTTCTCAAAAAATAAAAAGGTAGGGCCAGGGTTTAGCTCAGCAGTTTCACCGCCTGCTGCACAAGTGCAAGGACCCGAGTTCGATCTCCCATACCACAAATAAATAAAAGGTAGCCATCAGTGGTAGCCGTCCCCACTCAGTGCTGAAGGGGAAAGAAGGAAAACTATATAAACAAAAATGAAATGAGGTGATGAGGCAGTTATTAATCAAGAAAAATAGAAGGCTCTACATGAAATGTAGTAATAGACCTTTACATTTGTGTTGGTTGGTTTTGAGACAGTCTCACTGTGCAGTCCAGACTGGCCTTGAACTGAGGATCCTCCTGCCTCTGCCTCCCAACTGGTGAAATTACAGCCATGCCCCTGTGCCCGACAGAGTGCCTTAGCCAGGGATGATACAGAGATAGTGATATGTGGACTGAATACTGACCTGACCCACAATTGTGTCATTACTTCACTTACTGGAGGGAGAGATGCAAGGACACGAGCATGTGCACATGGGGCTGGGAAGCAGGAGAGTGGATCTGGAGATGATGCTGACACTGAAGTCAAGGAACAGTCGAATCCCATTATTTAGATAGGGGAGGGGAATGCAGAAGAAACCCAAAGCTTGAACTGTTGCCCCAGGCCATGGAAGCCAGGGCTGGGCTGCTGGGGTACTGCTGGTCCCCTGAGCCCTGTGCTGGGGGTCCCTGACTTTCCCAAGCTCGAGTGAGAACTGAGGGTCGGATGGAAACGAAGGGTTGCATAGACCCAGATGGGCCCACGCTCTCTTCTCCAGCTGCCAGTGTTCTCTGGCGCCCAGATTAGCACATACACTAGGAGATCTGAAATAGAAGCAAAGTAAATAAAAGAGCAATTCAAGCATAATATGCCCAGTGCACTGGCCACTCCCTCCTGCCCTGTCCACTCTGCCACCCTCCTTCACACCCCCCGAGCTGTCTACGAGGTGTCCCTGACTCCTGTTCCTTCACTTGCCCTCACAGAGGACCGGGTGAGTCCTGTGGGCTCCACCTCCAGAACACATTACAGATTCACCACTGCTCGAAGTCCCCTCTGCCACCAGCCTCTCCCCTGCGTGCGTGCGTGGCCACCTCCCTGTCACCTCCCACCCTCACCAGTCCCCCTGCTGTCTCAGCTCCACACGATGCCTGGGCCACACAGGAGCCAGGAGCTCTTGTGGTCTCAGCCATAGGTCTGGTAGAGCTTGCCTGGTGCCCTGAGGCCGTAGGTTCCCATAACCACCAAAGAAAAAAGGAGAGAACCTAAGACCCATCACAAAACAGTGTATTTTCAGTAAATTAGCATAACTTAACAAAAAAGGAGGAATGAGGGGCCCTGAGATGCTTCACACATATTAAATGCTAAATATTTACATCTAAGAACAGAAGCTGGGTGTGGTGGTACACACCTATAATCCCAGCAGTCAGGAGGCAGGAGGCGAGGCAGGAGGATTGCCACAAGTGCAGGCCAGTTTGGGCTCCATAGTGAGTTTAAGGCCAGCCTGAATTTGTGTGAGACCCTGTCTCAAAATCTGTTGGGAGCTATGTCAACAAATATTAGTATCTTTTGTCTTTTATGGATTTTTGTTTGGTTTGGTTTTTTTTGGGACTGGGGATCAAACTTGGGACCTTGTGCTTTCGAGGCAGGCAGCGGAACCACTGAACTAAATCCGCTCCCTCAAAATATCCAAGAACAGAGTTTCGGTAACTTGTACGGTCACACAGCCCTGAGTAGCAGAGTCAGGATTAGGATGCACACAATCCTCTTCCATAGCTTACATTTATAACAACTTTACTGATTCGCTTACTTGTGTATTTTTGGCTTTTGGAGACAGGCTCTCACTGTGTAGTTCAAGCTGGCCATGAACTCACTGCAGCCTTCAGTTTCCAGGGCGGACTGCTGCGTTTAACACTCACGTGACAGCTGGGTGTTAAGTGCACGTCTGCCCTGGAGGGGACCCGTGTGCCCAGACGCTGAGGCTGGTGAGCTCGGAGGCCACCCACTTGTGCTTGACTTTTGCAGGACCATTTCCAGCCTTGAAGAAGTGGTGGAAAAGCAAGCAGACATCATAATGTACCTGAAGCGGCACAATGCCCTGCTGAGCCAGCGGTTGTTGGCACTCACGACCGCAGACCTGGGCCCACAGCCAGGCAGAAGCTGAGAGGCTGCGGTGCCCAGGCCAGGAGGAGCCCAGGGTCTCAGGCCAACCCTCTGCTCATCACACGTGGGACCTGGATCTGCATCACCTGTACCCAGGGATCCTCGAGGGGACCCTGGCAGGGGTCCTGGTAACCCAGGGGAAGGAATGTTGTGTTCATCCTGGAATCATTTAACTGACCAGGTTTTCTTAGGATCAGAGGTGTTTAAACGTGCCCTGGTCACACTCTTCGTGCCCTAGATCCCTGCAGCAGTGAGCATGTTGCTTAGCAGAGAGTGCTTGGCACTCAAGAGTCACGGGTGTGACCCTCAGTTCCACGTAAACAGTGACAGGAAACAGACCTGTGACAATGGACTGCAGGGGAAGTCAGTCCTGACAATCGTTAATGGCATTTGGGGGATGGAACCCAGGGCCTGATGCTGCCAGGCTCTGCCCTGGAGCTGCGTCTTTCACCTACACAGTGTTCTAAAGAGTAAGTTCTACTTTTAAGATAACAAGAGAAGTCATTTCTGTGGTGTCTTCTGTATCTTCCCTTACCGTGTATCCTTGCCTCTGGGGACTGGGTGACAGCGAGGCCGTGTACCTGTTTCCCTCCTGTGGTGCTGGACGTGCACCCCACATCCACAGCTGTCACAGAATTTCCTCACTGAGGGGCAAGGAGCCTGGCTGAGGCGGGAGGGTCGTGAGTTCCAGGCCAGCCTGGATATCATAGCAAGACCCTGTCTCCAGAAACAAAAGCCCAACTGTAGGGCCAGGGTCTCACTCGGTGATGTACTATGCAAGTTCTACAGCCTTTTCTTCAGAATCAGGTCTGACATTTACCTGGTGTCCTGACCCAGACAGGCTGTTCCACACCTTCCATGAGCAAAAGCTGGAGAATTCAGAAATGTCCCCTTGTCTTTGCCCTTCTTGAGGAAGTTGCCATCTATTTCTGTATTGGATCAGTTCATTGGATCAAGAAGTTCAATTCCAGGAGTAGAAAAGTCTGTCGTTTAAACTCTAAAGAGAACCCAAGACTTATTTCTAGTACTTATAATGGGAATAAATGTCATTCATTTGTGTACAGATATGAAACACACCTATTTCCTGAGAGCAGAGTGAAGTCTTTATGAGTGAGTGGCGTCACTTCTCCTGTTTCCAGTGAACTGCTTTCCTCATCAGGCCCACCTAGGCTCCTGGGGGAAGCTATGAGGGGAGGGGCATTTGTGACTTCGAGCCGGGTCCCCAGCTGGTGACCCAGGGTTTGATTGGAGAAGCTGTGTGTGACCACCTTGGGATGTTCTGACTGGGACCAGATAGGTGGCGGTCCTGGGGTTAAAGCAGGCCCATGGGACCAAGCCACATCCCCGGGCCTTCTTTATTTTGAGACAGGGTCTTGCTCAGTTGCCCAGACTGAATCAAACTTGCTGTCCTCCTGCCTCAGCCTCCCTGTGGTGGGATTACAAATGTGTGCCACTACTCTCATGGCAATGAATATTTTTGTTTCTTGGTTTTTTGAAATTGGGTCTTGGTGTGAAGTCCAGGTGAGACTCAAACTTGTGACCCTCTTGCCTCAGCCTGCGGGTGCTGGGATGATGAGAGGTTGCGCCTCTGTGGCTGGGACATGTTCATTTCATCACACCCACTATTGCTTCCTGCTGCCGATACAGCCCCTCTGGGGCGTTCTGCAGTTGTCTGCTGAGATAAAGAGCATGTGTGACCTTCAGGGAGCCAAGTCTTCAAAGTAGTGGCACCCATAAATTCAGACAGATTGTGTCCAGGTCCCTGCCATCTTTCGTTTCTTTTTATTTCTTTATATTTTTGGTACGGGGAATAGAACTCAGAACCTTTTACTTGCTAGGGATGAGGGATGTAGCTCAGTGATGCCACGCTTGCCTAGCAATCGAAGGGTCCTGAGTTTGATCCCCGGTACAAAAAAAAAAAAAACGTATGTTTCAAAGCGGTTACCTTCTCTGGAAATCTGTACCTGTGTTTGGTTTTTACTTTTTTTTTTTTTTTTTTGCAGTACTGGGGGTCAAACCCACAGCCTTGTACATGGGAGACAAGCACTCTACACATCCCCAGCCCTTTTTATTTTACTTTGAGACAGGGTCTCTCCAAGTTGCTTAAGCTGGCCTTGAACCGGTGATCCTACTGCTTCAAGCCTCCTAAGGAGCTCCATAGGATTGGACCATAGTTCAGCCGGCATGCGCTACCACACCTGCCCTTTCTGTGTCCTGGAACAGCTATAAATACAGCCTCGTGGTTTTCCTTTTCAAAAGGAGAACACCGGGAAAAGACGACTAATGTGTATGTTTAAATGTGGCTGGGATCTACATTTGGTTTCTGAGACTCATGGGATGAACTTTGGTTTACAGGACAAAGGAGAGTCCAAAAGTTGGAGGATGTAGGGCTGGAGATGTAGCTCAGCAGCACAGCACCTGCCTGGCAAGCTCAAGGGCCCGAGTTTGATCCCTGTACCAAAAATAAAAGTTGGGGGATGTAGCTCAATCAGCTCAGCCTCCAGTACCCGCAAACAGTTGGGATTCTCAGGGTCTGTTGAACAGCTCTGTGATCCTAACACTTCTCCAAACTTAGTAATGAACACTTTAAAATGATCCATGAAACTAGACAGAACTAGCAAAGCAGAAAAATGAACAAAATAATTTAAGTCTTAAAACAGTCCAGTCACCAGGATTGCACCATGCAAACACTGTAGATGTAAAAACTAAACACTGATTTGCCAGCCAGGTGTGGTGCACACCTGTAATCTCCGCACTTGAGAGGCTGAGACAGGAGGATTTCAAGTTCCTCCTGGGCTTTTGACACCAGCTTGGTAAGACCAGTATTAAAAACAACAACAAAGACTAGTTGCACCCTGCATTCTAAGGAAGAAGATACACACCAGGGGACTGACCCCACCCTGTGGGTTGCCATGTCCAAGATTACCCTTGCTGGACAGAATGTTTTCAAAGTTCCAGGCAAATAAGTCAGTAAAGAAGCAGAGCGAGCAGCAACAGAATAGCGCAAGCATCATGTATCTTGGACCAAGTGTGTGGGGGGGTGGAGAGGGACAGGGTTAGATCTTGGGCCTCTGCCAAGAAGCCTGCCCCTCATCTGGTGAAAAGGGGACCCCCCAGCAAAGTTTCACACAAGGAACTGATGCCAATTGCAGTTTAGGAGGATCAGCTGGGTGTGGTAGTGCACGCCTGTAATTCCAGTACTCGGGAGGCTGAGGCAGGAGGATCATTGTGAGTTTGTCACAGCGCTGTCAGCAGGGGCTACAGAGTGAGTTCAGGGCCAGCCTGTCTCCATAGGATTAGACTATAGTTCAGCCAGGAGGAAAGGTGGCAGAAAGGCGTAGCCCCGAACTGGGGCATGTGCATAGTGTGTGAGCATTCGTGTAGACATAAATACAGACACAGGTGTTACTGAAAACCTGAAGGCTCCTTATTCCTTAATGGATGGAAACACTGAAAAGCAGTGACCTGAAACCTCCCCTGAAGGAACTGGACCAAGTCCCACCCTCGTGGGCACTCCCCACACGGCCCACCTGATGATGCGTCATCACTTCACCTCACGCTGCGCTGGGGAAGTTGACCACCTTTCCAGAGCCTTGGGCTTTTAGAGATGTTTGTTCGGTGCATAGTCGGGTCCTCAGCTCACTGATCCTGAGAAAGTCCCCACAAATGGTCCCGGGGCCGCCTGGGGTGCAGGGTTTCGTGACAGCCACCATGGGCCCTTTTTCTTCTGGTATTTAAGCCCAAGTCTTACTTGAATCAAGTTCTCTTTCTCCCTTTTAATTTTTCCTCAACTTCCTCCAGGGCTACTCAGCCTCAGCACTGCTGACACTTGGGGAGAAAGTTCTGTTGCCAGGTATGGTGGCACATGCCTATAACCCCAGCACTCTGGGAGGCAAAGGCAGGAAGGTCTCAAATTTGAACTCAGACTGGGCAATTTAGTGACTTGTGTTACTTTTCTCATTGCTGAGACAAAATACCCAACACCTGAAGTAAAAGAGTGAAAGGTTTATTTAGTTCACAGTTCGTAGAGGTTTCAGTCCCTAGTAGGGTGGCACATGGCAAAGGAGAAACAGTTCATGGCAGCAAAGCTACAAGGAACCTTAATAGTGTCTTTCTGCCCCTTTTATCCAGGCTACTCAGGGCGGGTAGCACTCACACCCTTAATCCTAGTGCCCTTGAGCCTAGCACTGCACCCTGAACCAATTCCGGCCTCACTCCAGATCCAGCCACCTCTGAAAAAGCCTCACCTCATTCCCATGAGGCTTTGGGGGGACATCTGGACATAAGCCATAACAAAGAAAACAAAACCAAAAATAACCAAAAAGATAAACACAAGCCATAACATTGACCATCTCAAAATGAAAAAAAAAGGGAAGGGGATGTAGCTCAGGGCAAAGGCCCCTGGTTCAATCCCCCCCCACCAAAAAAAACCAGTTTCTGCAGTGTGGGTCTGTCCCATGCAGGGTGCAGTGTAGGCAGCAAGCAGCAACCCCAGTCTTGCGGGCTGGAAGGGACCCCGTGAACTTTCAGTAAGTTAATGCCTCCGTGAATGTTCATCCCAAGAACTGTGCCGAGGATGTTCCCGTGTCCTGGGGGCCACCTTGTACCGGTGCAGGAGAGGGTAGCACTGGAACACCATGGGAAGGACTCCAGAAACAAGAGTGCTCTGACCCCTCCGGAAATCTGCAAGTGAGATCAATTAAATGTCCTCCCTCCCCGGCCTTTCTACATAAAAGGCTAACTTTTTTTTTTTCTGGTACTGAGAATCACACTGAGTTAAATACTGTGCTTTTATTATTATTACAGATAGTTTAGTGATCTCAAACTAGGGTTTTTTTGAGATAAGGTCTTACTGTGTAGTCCAGACTGGCCTTGAACTCACTGTGTAACCCAGGCTGGCCTCAAACTGGCAACAGTCCTCCTGCGTCAGCCTCCCAAGCCCAATCAGACCTGCTGCTATCAATCTTGGATACAAAGCTGTAATCCAGTAGCTTTTTTTCTATTCTAAAAATTTTTATTAGTGCATGTTTGCAGAAATAAGTGTTACAGGGCTGGGGATTTAGCACAGTGGTCCTGCCACCTGCCTCAAAAGCGCAAGGTCCTGAGTTCGATCCCCAGTATCAGAAATAAAAAAAGTGTTACATTCATTGTGGGGCCATAGGATGTCTTGTTTTTTAGGGTCTCAGGACTGAACCGGACGGAGCCTTTAAACTGAGCTATGTCCCCAGCCCTTTTTACATTTTTTGCTTTCGAGCACAGGGTCTTGCTAAAGTTCCCAGAAGGCTGGGCTCAAACTGGCTCTTCCTCAGCCTCCCTAATGGCAGCATTGCCAGTGGTTACCATCGCGCCCACCACCGGGCACTGACTTCGGGTAGCTCGAGGTCAGGAACTGCTAATCTCACCCCTAGGGAGCCAAGCTCTCTCACTGCCTAGGTGCCTAGGTGTGTCCTCTGCTTGGTCCCCTCGGCATTGTCTGCAGGACACCTCATTTCCTGGCTTCCTCCCCACAGCTGCATGCTGTCCTTGCCTCCTTCCCTTTCCATCCTCCACTCCAACTCCAGCAGCTCCTCCTCCCCAAGTCCGCACAGCACCGCCAGGCCCGGGCCCCTGGGCCCACACGGCCTCTGCAGTCATCTGAGCCCAAGAGTGAAGCCTGCCCAAGTGAAGAGCTACGTTCCCAGCCACTGTTGTTTCACTTTTGAGGTAGACTCACTCAGTTGTCCAGGCTGTCCTTGAACTAGGCTCTTCCCACCAGGTCCTCCCTTGATTCTGGGATTATAGGCGTGGCAGCACCAGCCCTTCATTTATTTTGTTTTTTTGAGACAGTCTCCCTATGCCTTCCAGGCTGGCCTTGAACTCAGTGATTCTGCCTCAGCCCCCCAAGTACTGAGTACAGGTGTGCTCCTCCAAGCCCAGCCTTTTAATCTTCTGAGACAGGTTCTAAGTTTCTGAGTTGTCCCACCTGGGCTCAAATTTCTAATCCATTGGCCTCTGCAGAGTGCTGAGTTAGAGGTGTGCATCACCATGCCCAGCTCAGCCTCCAACCCCCACAAGCAAGAAGTCTAAGTCTGGGCACTCACCCACAGCCCCTGGCCGCCCTGGAGACCCTCCACCTCGCAGCCCCGTCTTCTGTCCCCTTTGCCTGGTCCATCAGGTCCTCCATCACTGGAAGTCTTTCCCGGGTCTCCCCCTTTCTTGAGATACTAGCTTGAACACAGGACTTGCACATTCTGTTAAGTGCTTCATCACTGGCTACGTCCCACCTGACCATACTTCAAAATGCATCTGTCAGCTCCAGTGGCAAATTCCTTGGGAGGCTGAGGCAGGATTTCCAGGTTCACAGCCAGCCTGGGCAACTTAGCAAGACCCTATGGGAAAATTAAAAAGGGAGGCAGGGCTGGGGACATAGCTCAATAATGCAGCACCCCTGGCCTCAGCTCCCAGTATGGGGGTGTGGTTGTACAGAGAAAACAGACATTTTATAGCCATGGTTATCTATTGTGGACTTCGGAGTGGATGTCAGTACAAGTGAATTAAGGAGCAAGAGCAACACCATGTGCATAGCATGGCCACGTATCTGGAAAACTTAGACTTAACTGAAAATCCACTAGGAGGCAAGGGTGGTAAAAAACCTGAGGATCCACAGGCTTCAGAACACAGCGAGAGTGAGGGTCTTGGGCTAGGGATAGAACGAGTGGCTGAGTACATGTGGCTAAGTACATGATGTGCAGGGAACCCCAGGGTTCAATCCTCAGCAGCAGAAGGAAGACAGCTAGGCTCTTTGTTTTCTTAGATTTATTTTTAACTGCCACACAGAACACAAAACTTGTACATATTACTGGGGCACCATATGATGACTCAATGCAGATACACATATGACATTTACATCATGTTGGACACAGCTGTCCCCTCATCATTTATTTATGTAGCTCACTGCAAAGCCCTGGGTTCAATTCCCAGGAGAGGAAAAAAATAAATTACATCCATGTTATGTCCGTGCTGACATACATGCTCAACACCATTCGCAAAGTATTAGTACCAAAAGCAAAACAAAACAAGCAGCAGCCAGGCTGCACCTGTGGCACCTAGCCACTGGGAGGGAGATGAGCAAGGAGTTCAAGCCTAGTCTGGGTACCAGTGAGACTAATCTCAAAACAAAAACAGTATAACCTTAACATGGGAAAAATACACTATAACAGTCAAGTCTTAGCATTCCTAATTCAGATGACTAAATCCAAAAGAAAGACATTAGAAAAATCTTAGGGAACGCCACACCTGTTCCCATTAACACTGTAAATAAGACAAGAATGCTCTCTTTCTTACTGTCCTAAAAACTTAAGAGGGAAAGAACACCGGCCCTGGGGGGGTAGCTCAGTGTGCCAGGCACTGGGTTCAAAATCACAGCATCACACACAAAAACTTAAGTGAAAACAAACGTGAAATGTAACCTGGGAAAGCTAATCCCAAAAGAATTCCTACACAGACAAGGCCCCTGGCAGGCATGTAGCTCAATGGCAGAGCACTTGCCTAGCATGCAGGAGTCCTGGCTTTGTTTCTGGCATAGCTACCTCCATATATACATCTTTTTTTTTTGTACCAAGGATTGAACTCGGGACCTTGTGTTTTCGGGGCAAGCGCCGGAACCATTGAGCCAAGTCCCCGACCCAGCTACCTCCACCTAAATATATAGAACAAAGTTTCTAGGCAAGCTCTTGTGCTGAGTGCTGCTGCTACCACAAATAGATTCGGGGAGTAACAGAAAAAAATACTGTCCACAGAGCCGGGCATGGTGGCAGACACCTGTAATCCCAGCACTCGGGAGGCTGAGGCAGGAGGATTACATAAAGTTCACACATTTGAGGCCAGCCTGAACTACAGTGAGTTCAGGGCCAGCTTGAACTGAGAGAGACTGCCTCAAAAAACAAAAGACCAAAAAAAAAAAACAATCCACAGCTGATACAATACCAGTCAAAAATGCTCACTTTGCCAGGTAAGGTGCCATAAGCCCAAATCCCAACACTCTGGGAGGACAAGTCAGGAAGATCACAAATTCAAGCCCAGCACGGGCAATTTAAGTGATTTAGTGATATCCTACCTGTCTCCAAAAAAAAGGAAAAAAGAAAAGCTCACCCTCTTGATGGTGTGCAGCCCTCTGGGATGTGATGTGCCAAGACTGAGGCCACATGCTGCTCTCTGCAGACAGCTGAGTCAGGGACAGCACCATCCCACCTTTGTGGAGTGGGAAAGCCTTGCAAGGTCACCCTCCAAGCCAGCCATGTGCCAGGTCAGGGCAGGTGACGGAACCCCACCCCAGACAGCTGTGGCAACAAAATGAAGTTGCAAGTGGTGAGACTTAATAAACTGGAGGGATTGGATGTCTGAGCACACAACACAATGGCCTGTGAACCTTCCACTCAAAAGAAATCTGGCTGGTGTGGTGATGCACACCTGTAATCCCAGGTGTTTGGGAGGCTGAGGCAGGATTGCAGATTCGGGCCCAGCCTGGGCAAACTCAGCAAGATCCTGTTTCAAAAACTAAAACAGAAAGGGCTGGGGATGTGGCTCAGTGCAACGGCCCTGTGTTCAAGCCCCATTACTGCAAAATACAAAAATGTTTTTTAAATGTAGTTCAGCACTCCCTGTTTCATTATCCCTAGCATCACGATAAGAAAAACACTTAAAAAAAAAATACAGAGTCGGGCCTGGAGTGGAGCTCACCAGTAGAGTCCATGCTTAGCTTGCAGACCCTGGGTCCCATCCCCACCATCACCAAAAAAAGTACACTGAGATTGAGGAAAAAAACCTGCCCAAACGGTTCTGCCTGTGGGGAGCCCTCATTCACATCCCGATAATCCTGAGCGGCTTGGCCTCGGGCCCGAGGTAGAAGTAGGGCCGCAGCGGCTCTGTGAAGGAGTCTTGGAAGGTGCAGAGGTGTGCACCCGAGGGCATGTCGTAGAAGGAGATCTCACCCAGCTCGTAGTCCAGGAAGACGCCCAGGGTCCTGTCACGCACATCCAGTTGCAGCGGGCAGGGCGAGGCCCCCGGGGCATCGTAGCCGCCCTCCTGAAGCTGGACTCGCCAGCAGCCCTGCCCTGAGCGCAGCTCCTTGGAGGACTTGGAAACCCTGCACACACCCACGCCCCACTGGGGCTCATCCCCCACCTCCACCTGCCAAAAATGCCTCCCGGAGTAGAAATCTGGGAAGCCCAGGACAACGGGGTTGGCCCCAGGCTTTTTGGACAGACGAGAACTGCTTCGCTTTTTCTTCGCAAACCTCACCCATTTCCTGTCAGTGGAGATGAACAGGTTGGGGCTGGCCGTTTCAGGGTCCAGGATGATGTCGACCCCAAATTCCTTTATGACTCTCTGCAGGGCGGAGTACTGGGGAGGGAAGGAGTAGGCTTCTCTCCGCAGGTTAATGGAGAAGATGGGCGGGCTGATCTCACTGTTAGAGCCTTGGTAGAAATGCTTGATCTGGGACAGCAGCTGCACCTCGGACAGCGCGTTGTGTTTCACCACCCTGTCCAGGAGACTCTTGAGTGACGCTGCGTGGCCGGCAAAGGCGGTGATGTTGTTGCTGAGCTGCTGCTGGATCTCTTCCTCCTGGGCCAGCTGCTCCTAGGTGGCCTGCTGATTGCACTCCAGGAACTGGGTCAGCAGCTCCAGCTCTGAGGCCAGCTGCTGCCTCCGGGCCTCCACCTTCTCCCGAAGCTCCAGGGGCACCTTGCTCTGTGCACTGATCAGCTTCTGGGTGTTGGCCACCTGCTTCCGGAGCAGCTTGGCATGACTGTGCAGCCTCGACCTGTGGAGCGATGCAGCCTCCCCCAGGGGGCTCATGTGATGGCGGAGGTGATCAGGGGGCCCCACACATTGGGGACACAGCACCTCCAGGTCCTCCTCGCAGAACAAAGTCAGCTCCTGGTTGTGCTTCTCACACAGGTTGGTCTTCTCCGACCTCCTCCTCTTGCTCCGGCTACTGTGCAGCTTGTGGGCGATCTGCACCATGCGGCCCAGCTGTGTGTTGCTCCGGAAGTGGCCCTCCTGGCACTGGAATCGACACACAGGGCAAGGGAACTTCTCCTGCAGGTCGGCCCAGGTCTGCCGAATGCAGAAGCGGCAGAAGTTGTGACCGCACTCGATGGTGACAGGGTCCTTCAGGTCGTCCAGGCACACGGCGCACTTGGACTCAGCCTGCAGCCGTGCCAGGGCTGCTGCCACTGCCATCGGGCCACCAGATGGGCTGCTCGGGCTCCCTGACCTTCCTGGGGTGCAGGTGACCTCTCTGCAGCCTGGGTTCCTACAGTAGTGGCGGCCCTGGAGGTCCCTGGAGTCTTTGGACGTTTAATATCTTTAGCCAGGAGAACACCTCTCTTCCAGTACCAGCAGTGCAGAGCTGCTGTGGGTGAGAAGGGGAGAAACCTGTTTATTCCAGGGGCTCCCATGCACCCCAGGCTCCAGTCAAACAGATTGTGGTCCCCAAGCCCATGTGAGGGAGCCTGCATTCCTCACCCCCTGGACCTACAGCCCCCACAGCTCACAGCTTGGTCACCCAGCTGGCTGGGCCAGGCACAGGCCCCAAGCCCTCTAACTGGGAGGTGCTTAGCACTTTATACCCAGACTCCTGCTCTCAGGTATGAGGACCAGAATCCACCACGAACTTGTCTTCCACAAAAACTATGCAAAGACTGTCAGAGCTGGGCATGGTGGCACAGGCCCATAATCCAGGCACTTGGGAGGCCGAGGAAGGAGGATCTCAGTGAGTTCAGGCCAGCCTAGGAAGGAAGGGGAGAGAGAGAGAGAGAGAGAGAGAGAGAGAGAGAGGGAGAGAGAGAAAGAGAGAGAGAGGAGAGCGAAAGACAGGTTGAAGAAGACAGGTTTCTGCTGTTGCTTTGTTTTGTTTCTGTAGTACTTACTGGGAGTGGAGCCTAAGGGTGCTCCACCCCAAGCTACTTCCCCCAGTACTAGAGATGGAACCACCCCTGGGCCTTCTCACAGAGCTACATCTCCAGCCCTTTTCTATACTGCGACACAGTCTCACTAAATTGCTCAGGCTTGCCCAAAGTTTCAATCCTCCTGCCTCAGCCTCCCAAAGACAGGAAGCTTGTCTAGAATGTGCAAAGCTCTGGTTGATATCCACGCAGCCCTTCAGTCAGTCAACACATGCATAAATGAAATACCTTATTTATATGTTTTTTGGTGCTGGGAGTAGAACCCAGGGCCTCACACTTGCTAGGTAAGCACTCTACTACTGAGGTTTGACCTTGTCCCCAAATAAAGTATCTCTGGAGGCTCAAAATTCACATCTACAGGGCCGGAGATTTAGCCCAGTGGTTCTGCCGCCTGCCTCACAAGCACGAGGACCCGAGTTCGATCTGCGGTACAAAAAAAAAGAAAAATTCACATCTACAGCCGGGCGTGGTGGCGCAGGCCTGTAATCCTAGCACTCAGGAGGAGGCAGGAGGGTGAGTTTAAGCTCAGTTCTGGGGACCCTATTTCAAAACAAGAGCAGGGTATGGTGGTGCGCGCCTGTGATTCAGGCACCTGGGAGGCTGAAGCAGGAGGAATGGCTCAATTCAAGGCCAGCCTAGACTACACAATGAGACCCTGTCTATATATTAAACAAAAAAAAGGGGGGGGGTGATACAGCTCACAGTGAAGGCCTTGGGTTCAATCTCCAGTACCAAAATAGATTAAATTAGATTCCAAGCCCAGGCTGGCCTGGGGCTTGTGGCGATCTTCCTGCCTCAGCCTCCCACATGCCAGCCTTGCTGCCTCTTAAAAGATGTGTGACTAAGGGCTTTGTAACCTGTCTAGGCCTCGGTCTGTCCTGACGAAATTAAAGCTGCCTCTAACACACCCGGAACACCGGGGCCCACGTCAGCCTCTGACCCCTACCCTCAGACAGTCCACACGGCCCTTCAGACCAGGCTGAAGCCTGCCCCTCACAGCGCAGCACTGGGCTTGCGGCTCCACCCACCCGGCCCCTGCTTACCAGTCTGCGGCTCTGGGCTCACCTGAGCTTTTGGAGACAGGGTATTGCAACGTATCGACCGGTGGCCTGGAGCTCAGAGCCACCCTCCTACCTCAGCCTCAGGAAGGCTGAAGTGCAGGCGCGCGCCAACCCACACGCTTTTATATTCAAAGGGCCGTGGTGGCTCCGCCCACTGAGGATGAGTTTCCGCCGGAAGTGGAGGGAGAGCTGCATCAGGCGTGTGCGCATGCTCACTGGGGAGTGAGCCCAGAGCGTCGTGAGTTACGCGGTTTTACGTTTAGAATTTTGGAGTCTGCCTAGTAACCAAGTAGGCTAGGTTTGGGGATTTGGTAGTTTATTACTCTCCGATACTGTGGATTGAACCCAGGGCCTTTGCATAGAGCTACATCCCCAGCCCTTCTTTCATTTTTGGTTTTGGCCAAATTGCCTAGATTGGGCCTGAACATGCAGTCCTCCCGCCTCAGCCTTCTAGAGTGCTGAAGTCGTAGAAATGCGCTACCTTGCTGGGCTCAGATTTGGGTTGTTTACTGCCCTGCGGGTGGAACCCAGAGCCTTGTGCATGCTAGGCAACCACACTACCATGGAGCTAAACCCCAATTAAATCCTAAATCTTTTTTTTTTTTTTTTTTTGGTACCGGGGATCGAACTTGGGACCTTGCCCTTTCGAGGCAGGCGGTGGCACCACTGAGCTAAATCCCTGGCCCAAATCCTAAATCTATTTAAAAATATTTGATTAAAAATACATGATTAAAGCTAGGTACCGTGGTGCACAACTGTAATCTCAGCACCCAGGTAGGTAGAGGCAAGAGGATTGCCAATTAGAGCCCAGCCTGTGTAACTGAAGAAGAGCTCCTCTCAACATTAACAACAGGTGGGCCAGGTGGGTACATGCCTGTAATCCCAGCACTCAGGATGCTGAAGCAGGAAGATCACTGTGAGTTTGAGGCCAGCCTGGGCTACATAGCAAAAAACCAAATTAACATCAAAAGACGAAAGAATAGCTGTGGGTTCCAACCCCAGTATCAGAAAAGAAACAAAAAGCAGCTAAACAAAAACTCCCCAAATCTCTGGCATAATAAATTCAAAATTAACATTTATCATATCCGTACCCCACCCCGCGCTGGGGATCCATCCCGGGGCTGCGCACGACAGGCCTGCGTTCTACTCTGAGCTTCACGTTAGGCCCAAGATAATTTCCTGCTGTTGTCTGCTGTATTTATTTCTGTTAGAACTGGGGGTTGAACCCAGGGCCTTAGCACTGGAGCCGAGGCTGGGCTTGAACTCAGGGTGATCCTCCTGCCTCAGCCTCCTGAGTAATGGGATTAGACAGCACCGGGTGTGCCCCCGGTCCTGCCCTGGGGAACCTGGCCCTGCCCGTCCTCCCTTCCCCTCCCCGCCTTCGGCCTCCCTCTGGTCCCAGTCGGTTCCCTGGGAGAGCTTGGGCTCTGCGGTTCTGGGGAGGCAGAAACCACCTGAGAGCCACGCTGAGAGCCCCAGCAGCAGGGTCCAGCAGGGTCTGAGCGCTCGAGGCCTGGGTTCCCTCCTCGAGGCCACGAAAGAAAAAACAGGAAATAAAAGGCGCTGATGAATTACTGAAGGCAGCTTCAGTGAAGTGGAAGGGGTAATACCACAGCGATTCTGCTGACAGATATGAGAGAAAAAAAAATCCCCCTCCCAACCCGTACTGTGGATGGAAGCAGGACCTTGCCCTTTCGAGGCAGGCGCAGCACCACTGAGCTAAATCCCTGGCCCGGAAAGAAAAATATTTATAAAGTGCTGAGCGTGGTGAAACATGGCCTGTAATCCCAGCACTCGAGAGGCTGAGGCAGGAGGATCTCAGCAAGTTCCAGGCCAGCCCGAACTACACAGGGAGACCCTGTCTCAAAACAAACAAAAAACAAAGAAAAAATCTTAAAGGTAAGTGCATGAAATCAAACTAGAAAAGTGGATAGGGGTTCATTTGCATCTTTGAGGCGAGATCCAAACTCAATTCTGCCCCTCCCACCCATTGAAGGCTTTCATTTCAGCCCTGTTCTGTAGATAAAGGAAATGTTCAGCACATGAGATGAAAATGGAAAAGGAAGACTTCTGAATCAGAAACAACAGAAGCAAAAGCTACTCCAGCAGGTGAAAGTGAAGGCCTGGGGGAGAATTGCAATGGGACAGAAAGCAAAGGTTTCCTGTACCTGAGGCTGCAGTAACCCTGGGCTCCATTCTTCTTTAAATGTCCCACCTGTTGGGTGTGGTGGCCCACGCCTATAATCCTAGCACTCAGGAGGCTGAAACAGGAGGGTGCAGTGAGCTCAAAGCCAGCCTGAACTGCACAGATAGGGAGACCCTGTCTCTAAATAAATGTCTGCACCTGTTTAAATATCGATATTCCCTGTCATACCTGCTGCCACATAAATAGGAAGAGTGAGGTGTTGCCTCAACCTGTGACATTAAAAGTAAACTTGTTTTTTTGAGACAGTCTCTATATGTAGTTCAATCTGACCCTGAACTCACTGTGTAGCCCAGGCTGGCCTCCAACTCATGGCAGTCCTCTTGCCTCAGCCTTCCGAGTGCTAGGATCACAGGCATACACCACTTCCACTGTCAAGAGTAAACTTCTGTAAGAACAGAAACACAAGTGGCTCATCATCTTAGCTCTCAATCAACATCCCAAGGTCAGCTGGGAGGCCAGAGTAAACTCAGCCCAGAACCCTGCAGAATTGGGCTTTTATTTTACCATCCGGAAGTCCAAAAAGTCACTCAGCCCAGTGCAGCGGTCCATACCTGTAATTGAAGCACTCTGGGGTGCTGAGGCAGGAAGATTGCAAATTCAAAACAAGCCTGGGGAATTTGATGATTTAGTGACTCTGACAAAATTTTATAAGTACCAGAGATAGCCTCAGGTCTGGGAACATGGGCTCAATCCCAAGCGCCCCTCCCCCCATACAAAAACTCATTTGGAGGAAAAAAAATCTTCATTTTAATAACTAAAATGTGGGGGGAGGAATTGATGTTATGTGCACGTACCAATTCCCTACAGTGAATGTTATCTTTACGTACTGCAATCATGTATTAATAAATTCTTTTTTAAACTGTGAGCTGGGCAAGGTGGCCCAAGCGTGTGATACGAGCACTCTGGGAGGCTGAGGCAGGAAGATTACAAATTCCAGCCTAAAGCTGGGTGTGTTGGTGCATGAATGTAATCCCAGCACTTGGTAGGCTGAGGCAGGATTGCCACAAGGTGGAGGTCAGACTGGGCTACATAGCGAGAACCTATCTCAAAAAAATAAAAAAAATAAGAATAAAAAACAAGTCCCAGCCCAGATTGGGAACCTAACAATTTAGGGAGATCCTGTTTCAAAATAAAAAAAGGCTGGGAATGTAGCTCAATATGAAGGCTATAGATTTAATCCTTAGTGCCCTACACACACATACAATAAATAAAAGTGTTTCTCTCATCTCCATAGGTGAAGCTGGGGCATCTGTTTTCAACTAGCATCTTGGCCATTGTAACAAAGCCCTTTCAGGCACCAGCAACTGAAAACTGTAGTTTAAAATAACTGGCTTGGCCAAGTGTGGTGGCACATGTCTGTAACGCCAAGACTCAGGAGGCTGAGGCAGGAGGATGGCTGAGTTTGAGGCCAGCCTGAGCTGTACATAGTGAGATCAAGGCCAGCCTACATGGGAAGACTGTGTTCTCAATAAAATAAACCCAAAACTAAAGAACAGCCTTCAGTACACTGTAATGCAAACTTGAGTCCAGACTCCTGGATAATCCTTGACCATCTTCAACCACAGATGGGGTGCATGCAGGCTCTCCTTAGGCTCCTAGTGTTGAGCTGCTGTGGCTCAGCCTGCTCCTCTGTAACACAGTGCTATAACTATGCAGAGCGAGAGGCCACAGAGCCAAGACACAGCAACCAGAAATGTGGCTGCCACTGATAACGGCACAGGAAGCAGGTCTACGCCTGCACTGGGGCAGACCTGAACAGCGTGTGATGAAGGTGGACTCTGCAGTCAGCTTTGGGGTGAATCTTAGTGGTAGAGCACTTGCCCAGCCTGCATGGGGCCCTGGGTTCAAACCCCAGTCCAAAGAACAGCGAATGCCCTGATGTCACCTACAGAGGTGGTGTGGAGGAATGACTGGAATCTCATGCTGGTGTTTGTCTTCTTTAATGCATTTTTTGCCTTACACATACACAGAGATGCAGAATTCATTAGCACACACTGCAATGACTAATCATGGAACACAATCATGTAATCAGCAATAAGGTTAAAAACAGGAATGGATGCAGATATCCCTACCCCTCCCAGCGTCCAATCTTGGGATCAAGATATTCATCCTCAGGGCAATGACAATAAGGTTTCCAAACAGACCAGTGGTCTTTCCTGAGGACAAAGGGCAGCCTGGCACCAACAGACTGGTAGGACAACAGGGCCTTGATGCAGGGGGCACTGCTGTCCCCCCACCCCACCAGCTGGACTGAGATGGAAGAGTGTTTGGACCATGGCGATGAAGGCGCCTTCACTGAGGTGACAGTGTGAATGACTATTGACGACTGGGAAGATGCACTCGGAAATGGCCAGGAAGTAGCTGGATATTTGGGCATGAAGCCTGAGAAATCTTAACTACAGCTTTTGGGGTTGTTGGGGTATAGCTCAGTCAGTGGTAGAGCAGTTGCCTAGCATGCAGGAGGCCCTGGGTTCAATGTCGACCACTGAAAAAAACCGCACAAAACTAGAAAGCCAGCCATGGTGATGCACGCCTGTGATCCAATACTACGGGAGGCTGATGCAAGAGGATGGCAAGTTGGAACCCAGCCTGGACAACTTGCCAGGATCTTGTCTCAAAATAAAGGGCTATGGACATAGCTCAGTGAGAAGGGCCTGGGTTAAGTCTCCAGTACTAGAAAAATAAGCATAGGTTGTAATCATAACATGTAAATAATGTATAACTAAATGAATGTTATTGGAAAAACACTTTATAGGCAATTTAAAACAATACCTTATTGGGAGCTAGGTCCAGCACACTTGAAGTGGTTCCATTGCTTGCTTCCCTAGCTCACAGACCCCCAGGAGCCAAAATGGTGCAACAGATGGAAAGCAAAGAGGATTTTCAGCAAGCCTTGGCCGGTGCAGGGGATAAACTTGTAGATTTCTCAGCCACGTGTTGAGCACCTTGCAAAATGCTCAAGCCTGTTCTTCACTCCCTGTCTGAAAAATATTTCAACGTGTCGTTCCTGGGAGTAAATGGACTGCAGTTGGTGCAGGCAAATGCATGCCAACCTTCCAGTTTTTTTAAAAGGGTGAAAAGGTGGGTGTGTTTTCTGGTGCTAATAAAGAAATGCTTGAACCCACCCTTAATGAATTAGTCTGTGTTTTCTGAAGAACATAGTCAGCCATCAATTGTTTAAAAGTTAATTTACAAAAAGTATAAAATATGGAAACTACCCAGTTGCCATCTGATTATAAATGACAATAAAATATCAATTCTACCCTTTCTAAAAAAAATATTTTATTGGAGCTGGGACTTGTAACTCCAGCACTCAGGGGGCTGAGGCAGGAGGATCCTGAAAGTTTGAGGCCAGCAAGGACTACATAGTCTGAGGCCAGCCTGAACCACAAAGGGAGACCTCATCTCAAAAAAAGCAAAGCAAATATAAAATATACATTTATATGGCTCAGTGACAGAGCACTTTCCTAACATGCACAAAGTCCTGGAGTCAGTCCCCAGCAGTGCACCAAAATAATTGATTTATTGGACATAATAAATACAAGTCCTTATCCTGCAATCTTGTTATCCATTAATTCCATCTTCTCTGTAGAGCATACAGTCCAAGAATCAAAGATGGATGCTTAGAACCATGGATAGTATTGATCACCTGTTTTTTCTATATACATACCTATGTACCTCTGATAAACTTTAATTTATAAATTAGGAACAGTAAGAGATTAACAGCAATAACAAATAATAAAATAGGACAACTATAGCAATATAGTGTAACAAAAGCTATGTGAATGTAGTCTCAGTTGCCATGGGGTGGATAGCATGTACAGCATGAATACACTGGTGAACAATATACATCCTGGCTGGGATGGAGCAAGGTGGTGTGAGATTTCCTCACACTATTTACAATGACAATTTAAAATTTTAAGAATTATTTTCTTGTATACTTTTCCATTTATATTTTTGTACTACAGTTAACTGTAACTGAAACCATCAAAGGTGAAATCATGGAATGTGAAACCACACATTAGGGGAGACTAATGTAATTGCTTATTAGTTTCAGCTTTTTAAAATGGTATTTTAAATTTCAATATCCAATTTCCCTTTGCTAGAACACAGACATGTAATTGTTTGTATTTTGATCTTGTACCCTGCCATCTTGTGAAATTCATTACCTCTAGTAGCTCTTTTGTAGATTCCATAGGGTTTTCTAACATATGTAACCTGTGAATAAAAATGTTTTACTTCTTCCTTTTCAAATAAAAAATAAATAAATACAAGTCTTGGCTGAGGGAAGAGGATCACCGGGAATTCAAGGCCAGCCTCTCAGACTAATAGATCAAGTACCTCAGAATTCAAATCACATTTGAAAATTGACTTCCTATCTATGGGACTGGCACTGTATCATCACAGCAGTAATGTTTCTTCTCATAGTTGCTGAAAACGTGGGTGAATGAAAAATCTCTTCCAGTTTTGGGTGTGTCATGAAACTTACAAAACTTCTGGAAAGGAGATCAAGTTCAGTTGGTCCTAAATTCTAAATCGCAATGATTAACAGGTTGTTTATGTTTCATCATCTGACACTGACACGAGTTTAAGAGGCTCGGGATCTCTTCCAATATAGAAATAAGGCCAGATGGTTTTGGTGAAACGGTGATGGAAAGTGTAGAGCAGGGACCCGTCGTCCACGTTGTAGAAGGAAATCTCGCCCAGCTCGTAGTCCAGGAAGACGCCGATCTTGCTGGGCCTCACTTTGGGCACGATCTGGGCTCTCTGGGGGCCGAAGGCGAGGTAGCCGGTGTCCACGCAGCGCCCGAGGGCCCAGAAGCCGGGGCACACGGTTGGCTCATTTCGCCAGTTGCGGGGCAGGCAGCCCCGGCAGGCGCCCAGGGTCCACTTGGGCTTGGTGCCCACCTCCACCTCCCAGTAGTGCCGGCCGAAGGTGAAGCTCTGGAGGCCCAGGACGGCCGGGCATAGGTAGAACCTCCTGGGGGCGTAGCAGACCCTCCTCCAGTTGTCGTGGTAGTGCACCGTCTTCTTGTCACTGGAGACCGTGAGCTGCGGGTGGGCCGTGGCGGGGTCGTACAGCACCTCAATCTGGAAGTGCTGCACGATGCGGCCCAGGCCTGAGAACTGGGCCGGGAGCCTCACCTCATAGCCGCTCAGCTCGATGGTGCAGCTGTCGGGGCGCCTGAGCTTCTGCGACTTGTCCTCGATGCCCTTCAGGGACCTCAGCACCGCCAAGTCCGAGTCTTCGCTCTTGTTCTCCACATGCTTCAGCAGGCGCTTTAGGCCAGACAAGTAGGCGGAGAAGGCAGCCAGGTTCTGGTTCACTTCTGCTAAGATCTCCACCTCTTCCTTGCATATCTTTCTGAGCACAGCCTCCTGCTCGCCCTGCAGGAACTGGCAGACTTGCTCGAACTCCGCCTCGATCTCCCTCCTCCTGGCCTCGGCCTCCTTGCGCAGCTCCAGCATCTTGCTGCCCTGCAGCGCGATCATCTTCTCCACCTGTTCCAAGCTGCTCCGCAGCGGCTCCACCTTGTCCTCCAGCAGCCTGCGGTGGTGCGGTGCGGCGCTCTCAATGGGGCACACGTGATGCTCCAGGTGCTTGGGGGTGAAGCTGCAGCGCGTGCACAGCAGCTCCAGGTCCTTGTCGCAGAACAGCGTCAGTGCCTGCTGGTGCTTCTTGCACGTGGTATGCTCAGGATGCAGCTGCTGCTTCCGCTTGCTCCTGCGCACCCCCAGCTTCTGCACAGTCTCCGTCAGGCTGCGGAGCTGCGGGTTCCGGCGGAAGTTCTTGCGGTAGTAGGGGAAGCGGCAGATAGGGCAGGGAAAGGTGTCGTCCAGGTTCTCCCAGCAAGCGCCCAGGCAGTCGAAGCAGAAGTTGTGTCCGCAGTCGATGGTCACCGGGTCTTTGAAGTAATTGAGGCACACGGGACAGCAGCTCTCCTCCTGGAGGGAGGCCAGGGTAGAGGCGAGTGCCATGGGGCTCCCGTGGTGGAAGTGGCTGTTCCTCCGTCCTGCAGGCCACCGGCCACCAACGAAACCTTGAGTCCTCAGAGCCTAAAGCCAGAGGACAAGAGGTTAAAGCTGTGGCTTTTCGGGATTAGTCCATCGACCACTGCAGGTTAACGGTTTTCTTCAAGAAAGGATCCACAGGTCTAACTAAGCGATCGTTCCTGCGGGCGAGAAGAGTTTGCTTTTCACAAATGTGCGAGTGTGAAACCACAGAGTAATAGTTGATTCAGGCAGGAATCATCAGTGACTGTAAAAGCTATTAGAAAAACTCACAAGAGGATATAATGCAGTTTGAGAATCTCTCCCTAAACTGGGCGTGCTGGCGCACTCCTGTAGTCCCAGCCCCGGAGGCTGAAGCAGGAGTATAGCTGCAAGTTCTAGGCCAGCCTGCACTACACAGGGAGACCTTGTCTCCCCCACCACACACAATTTAGCTGGATGTGGTGCATATCTGTAATCCCAGCACTTGGGAGGCTGAAGCAGGAGGACCGCTGTGAGTTTGAGACAAGGAGCCTGAATTAGTGAGACCCTGTCTCAAAAACAAAAAACAAAAACAAAAAAACCTAAAAACTTTCTGTTGAATATACACTTGGAATGATTTTATTCTGGTGCCTATGGACCTCCATAGTACGTGTCACTAAAAATGAAAGCCCAGTACCTTGCCACAGCCACACAAGCTGACAGGGTCTTCTGATGTTATTGCTGTTCTTCCTGGCTCAGTGCAGCTACAATAAACTGGTGTTGAGCAAACCAAGATCTCCGCTGTGGATGTGAGCACCCTGCCTAGGGTCTTCAGATGATTCCATCTTGCTCTTTATTTACCTTGATGAAGAATAAAGAAAAGGCTATAAGAGGTCAACATTTAGGCAGCTGAGCAACTGACCTTCTCAGGAAGGATCGACCTGCAGTTCCAGGGATACTTCCCTTGGGAATCTTGAGACACTACTTCAAGATAAGGCCTCATGGAGCTAGAAGCCTTAAAAATATGTCCTTATAACCCCACCCACAGGATACCAGCCAGGGGGTTACAGTATCACCTGGTACCATGCAAAAAGAGAAATCCAAACATAGCTAAAAAGGTGGCTAACTGCAAACATAATGCTTGTCATCTGGTTCCAATCAAAAGGCTCAAGAAACATGAGACTGTGTCTACAGAACTGTTATAGATGAGCCAGTTAATCTCCCTACATTTATTTCTCCAAGTTTGGAATTAAACGAAAAACCTTCTAGTGCTCCCAATCAGATTGCTGACCAGACTGTCTAGAATGTAGATAATATGCATTACACTCTTCTTCATTCATTCTGAAGACTTTCATTCCAAAAATACTAGTTTGTGAAAGTGACGCAAGACACCTAAAAGAGCTATGGCTGATAAGCATCCTAACAATACAAGTGAAAAAAGGTCCAAAAAACTGATGGAGAAGTGTGGATTAAAGAGCCAGCAGACAAAAGATTTTCCAGTCTTTTTTTTAAGCTTTAGGGGAATCTTAACTGTGGGGCAAGGAATGTAATTCAGTTGCACAGTTCTTGGCTTACATGCATGAGGCCCTGGGTTCACTCCCCAATACAGTGAAAACCATCAAGTTCGAGGTAACAACTCTTCTACTGGCATCTTAACATGTCTATATTTGTTTAAAGATTATTCTTCTTATAAAAAAATAAACTTCCCTTCAGACCACTGCACAAATTGTCTCTTCAAGGGAACTGTCTCTACCCACAAAGGAGACTTTCTCCCACTCAACTGTTTTCTGCTTCCTCTCTTGTTTCTTCCTTTGAACCCAGGGCTTTTCACTGAGCTTCATCCCCAAACCATTTTTATTATCTGAGATGGGTTCTGGCAAAAGTTGCTAAGTAGCCTGGGCTGGGCCCAAACTTTTTGATGCCTTTGTCTTTGCCTCCCAGAATGCTGGGATTACAGGCCTGAACCACCACATGCAGCTATCTCTCTAGTTTTTTGGTTTTTTTTTTTTTTTTTTTTGAGACAGGGTCTCCCTGTGTAGTCCAGGCTGGACTTGAATTCACTATGGAGCCCAAGCTGGCCTGGAACTCATAGTGATCCTCCTGCCTCAGCTTCCTGAGTTCTGGGATCATGGGTATATGTCACCATGCCCAGCTTCATTCCACAGAACTCAGTCACAACCTGAAACAGTCCTTTACCTGTATCTATTTCTTAGCTTATGCTTTTTGCATTCATTGGCAAATGAGACAAAGTAGAAGTAGGTAGCCTACCTTATTCATATAAAAGTCACAAAAGCTTTAAAATGAATAATCCCCTGTACCAAAAAAAAGACTTAAAATGAATAATGAACAAAGAAATACACCAATGAATAAAACCCTAAAAAATTCAAACAGAATAAATCACAATGCTGTAGAACTGAAGTTGGATGAAAAGCTTGCAAAACTAAAGGATTAAAGAGAAGAGAGCCAGGCATGGAGGCCCACGCCTGTAATCCCAGCTCTCAGAAGGCTGAAGCAGGAAGATGACCATGAGTTTTTGGTTAGCCTGAATTACGTACGGAGACCCTGTCTCACAAAATTAAAGTAAATTAATTAAAACAGAGGAAAGAAAATCATGCATAATGTATTAGGTATGAATTAATCTTGAATAAAAAAGACAAGAAGTTATAAAGGACATCATGAAAACAATTGGAAATAACACATGGGCTGTGGGTGTTGGAGCTCAATGCAAAGGCTCTGGGTGTGATCCCTGACAACACCTGAGAGAGCCCAGCCTCCCAGCCTCTGGGGGAGCAGAGGAAGCTGACTTCCCTGAACACCACCTAGCAAACACCAAAGGGTTTCAATCAAATACCCCTTTTCCAGTTCTTCCGCACTGTCTTCTATTCCCCGCAACCCCACCCTTGGTTTTGAGACAGGGTCTTGATACATAGTTGAGGCTGGCATTGAACTCATTATGTAGCCCAAGCTGGCCTTGAACTTGGGGTGATCCTCCCATCTCAGCCTCCCACCACATCTGCTTCATTCCATCTTCATGATCAAGATCTATCCATAAACATGGGCACATCCATGTAATGCTAAGTCTCTGGGAAGCCGAGGAAGGACTGGCAGTTGGAGTTTAGCCTGCGCAATTTAGCAAGACTCTGTCTCAGGAAAGAAAAGGAAAGAAAGAGAAAGGAAGGAAAGGAAAGGCTGGGAATGTAGCTCAGTGCAAAGACCCAGGGTTCGGTACCCAATACTGCAAAGCAGCCAGGTGGGGAGGTGACATGCCTGTAATCCCAGCACTTGGGAAGCCGAAGCAGGAGGATCGCTTCAAATGAGGCCAGTCTGGGCTACATAGTGAGTTTCAAGGGCGCCTGAACTACATAGAGACACCCTGTCTTGCCAGAAACAAGTACCGCCAAAAATAAAGGAAAGAAAATATCTGGCCTCACATTTCTACCATTTCATTCACTGCTGGCTCTCTCTTGGTCTCACTGTATCCCTCAAAGAACTCTACAACACAGCTTCTCAAAAACAACTCCAGTCCTATCATCTTTCCATTTTAACCTTAACTGTACTCCACAAATAATGATTTAGCCAGACACTGTTTCCAGAAAAAGAACCAAAAAAGGCCTGAGAGTGTGAGGAGACCCATTGCTGGAGGTCAAGAGACACTGAGATCCCAGGCTTAAGCACAGCACAAGGCCGTGCTGCTTTATTACACACACACCCCCAGGTCCTACTGGCCCTCGCGCCCCTCCCCGCTTACCTGAAGCAGATAGATCAGCGGCTCACACCAAACGCTGTGCGCTGTGCGGCACCAGGGAACACCACCGGCTCGGCCCAGAGGTCCCGCACTTTTAAGAAGCATCGGTTGTCCTGGAGACGCTCGCTCAGCCTACACGGTGATTGGCTGTTCCCAGAAGTGGGCGTGAGCGACCTGCGCATGCCCAGAGAGCCAGGGCGGAGAGGCGAGTGTGAGACCTCAGGTCACTGAAATCCCATTATCTAGGGCTGGGGTCCTGCCCTATGATCCAGCCTGCCTTTAGCATTCCTGCGTCCTTCGATCCAGTTTCCAGCACAGAAACAAAACAAACAAACAAAAAATGCCCCTGTCAATCTTTTCAGATTTATTTTTATTATTGACAAGGTCTCACTGTAGCCCAGGCTGGCTTTGAACTCTCCCAGATTCTCTGGTCTCAACTTCCCAGATGCTGGGATTACAGGTGTAAACCACCACACCTTCTTAATCTGAATCCTTTCAGATTCTTCTTACTGAATTTTTACCCCTTGAGCAACTCCAGGTTCCCAGCAGGCTGGACTGTCCTCACTGCAACTGGGTAGGAAAGCTCTCCACCTCATCCTCCCGCCAAAGGGCAAGGGCGGGGCCGAGGAAGGAGAGGTGACCTTGAAACAGGACTAGAGCTGGAGACGAGAGTAAACACTCCCAGGTGCACAAGCATAAGGTGGTGCACCCCTATAATCCCCAGATTTGGGAGGCTGAGGAGGGAGGTTGGTGGGGAGTTCAAGGCCTGCCTGGGGTGCACAGTGAATCCAATACCAGCCTAAACGAGAGAGAGAGAGAGAGAGAGAGAGAGAGAGAGAGAGA